GAACCCTGTCAAGAATCATAATTTTAACTCTGACCTGTTTCTCAGTCCTTGTTRATGAAAAACAACCCAACATCATGAACACTTTTATAAGGCATTGTGTGTTTTTGCTGGCAGAGTATTGGTATGTGTCACAGAGCTGTTAAAACCTAAAATGTCTCCATTTACAGTTTAAACAGGTGGAACTGAGAAGATTTCTTAAAAAAATATTTTAATCCTTAATAAATTTAAATTATATCATTATCTGTCCCCATGGGGTTTTTTTTATATTGGGCTATAAGTGCTACACAAATGCAGTAAAAATGAAACTGAAACGTTGGTTAGTTAAATGTTGCAGCGAGTGTGTTCTGTCTGAAACTAATAGCTGGTACAGGAGCTGAGAGGTCAGTCTGCATCCTGAATCCAAAAACATTTTAGATATTTCGTTAAATGTAAAAAAAACAGAAATCACATCTCATAAACCCATAAATGAAATGATAAAAATAAAAACAACTGGAGAAACATTTGGAACAGATCAGTGAGAGGACTGAGTTTTAAAAGTGTCTTTTAGAGACACATGACAGAGGACTTGTGTCCATACTTGTCCTGTTAGTGTCCATGACATTGGGATTAAATGGCTCYAAGTCTTATTTAATTGACAGATTCCATTTTGTTAATGTTAATAATGAATCTTGTTCTTACACCAGAGTTTGTTATGGAGTTCCTCAGGGTTCAGTGCTTGTACCAACCCTCTTTGCTTTATATATGCTTCCATTAGATAAAGTTATTAAACAGCATGGGATAAATTTCCATTGTTATGCTGATGATACTCAGTTATATTTATCCATGAAACCCGATGAATCCATACAATTACTTAAACTACAATCATGTCTTAATGACATAAAAATCTGGATTTTCTGYTTCTAAACTCAGATAAAACAGAGGTTATGGTTCTTGGACCTGAACATCTTAGTAATAAACTTTGCCATCTTTCACCTCCTCTGGATGGCATTAATCTGCCTCCAGTTCTATGTAAAGAACCTGGGTGTTATTTTTGATCAGGACATGYCTTTTAACCCCCACATGTTTCTTTGTTACCCTCACATTCAGATGTATTTTTCAGGAAAGACCTTACAGAAAGACCATTCTAAATGCTGTAGAGATCAGCCATACAACAGCGTGGCATCATTGTCTACTTTTAAGATTAGACT